GTAGGCTCTGCATAGGCCTAAGACTCTGATACCTGTTTCTAGAATCACCTCTCACCTTTTACCACTGAACCTGTTTCACCTGTGAATTTAAAAAGCCCTGGTGAGGAGTAATGGGGTGGGGTTGATAAATAGACGTGTGACAGATGGATTTTTTTTTTACTCCAAAATCGAGAGCTCTTACTGATACAGTGAATTATTGAAACTGTTGAAAAGTGGGACACCGTAAAGTAACCTGGGTGTGGAATGCTATGTTTGTCTAAACTGGCTGCTGTCACTGGCAGAAACTCCTGAATGAGTGGATGAAGGTGGCAGGAATGGTCAAGTGCAAGTGCTTATTGGACTGTGTCAAATGGGCCAAGTAGAAAAATGTGAAGCAGTAAAAATTAGCGCCATTAAGCAGAAATAGGAGAGTTGAGACTTGGTGAAGAACCTGATTCATCAAACTGCATTAGCCTCTGCTAATCCCCTGGAGTCCCCTGGCCAGTGTCTTCCCATCTTTGACCTGGGGCGAGACCTTTCTCTGCAGTCCTTGGACAACAGGGAAAGGGGGATTCAGGGAATGATCCTGAAGCCGGAAGGGTTGTCTCCTCTGGTGCGCATGGCAGCCACTGACCATGGACGAGAACCTGTGGATCTTGTCAATGTTTCACCACCCACCTTACAATGATGTTTGAAACAGAACCTGCATGAGGAGGGAAGCCTGTCCCCCAAATGAGATGGCTGAGCCATCTGGTGTTGCAGCTGACCTGAAAATGAATCCAGGAAATTTCAGACCTGAGTTACAGCTGGCGTGGGGAAATCTAAGAGACAGGTGGTTCCCTTAACAGCTGTACATGCAGTTCGGGTAGGCAGGAAAGAAAATTCCAACCTTGTTGAGCCTTCATGGGTTTTCTGGGATCTCTAGTAACTCCCTGACCTTTTGCTGTGATAATTACAATATCAGGGCAAATAATGATATTTCTCCTTTCCTTTGTTGAAATAATCTCTGCGGGTCGATGAACCTAAGATTTTAAGTGAGCATATCAAGTGATAGATGGCTAAAAAAGACTGTGGTTGTTAGCTGGGAGAGTACTCACAGAAACAACAGTCTTTCAAACCATTCTTATTCTGGAAGTGTACAGACGAAAGTCCCTTTGGGGGAAAACACAAATTGTTGCATCCAAGGTGACTATTTAAATTTGTAGTTCTGTATTTAGCCTGCAAATTTTAAGATAACTTAATCAAACACCGTTTTTATGAAGTGAATTAGTATGCATGCTGAATGAAGTGCAAGACATTTTTAGCCCACAAAAGGTGAAGAATAATGTTGACTTTTAAAAAATTTGTTCTGGGGGCCAGCCCCGTGGCCTAGTGGCTAAGTTCGGCACGCTCCGCTTCGGCGGCCTGGGTTCGGTTCCCTGCCCGGACCTGCACCACTTGTTGGCAGCCATATTGTGGCAGCAACTCACATACAAAAAATAGGGGAAGGTTGGTGCAGATATTAGCTCAGGGCAAATCTTCCTCAGCAAAAATAAATAAATAAATTTGTTCTGAACGAAGCACTTAGCCTGTATGTCCGTGTAGTTTTGGGGGCACTGTTGGCAGACCTGGTTTTTCTTCACTGATTTGGAGGTGATGAAACTAAAGTAACTAAGATACAGAGAAGTAAGATATTTTCCTGAGTCACTTGGGAACCAAATGTATGAAACCAAAAGAAGAGTTTTGGGGTCATTTTCTCAATAATACTGTTTGTCCCAGAATCCCCATTTTGGTGTAAGTTGTTCATTGCGTGAGGATGCCCAACAGAGGCTACAAGTAGGGTTAGAAATGCAGCCTGGGCTCTGCTCCCAAGCCGTGGGGCTATGCCCACCTGGAGATGGGTTACATTTTTTTTCAAAGGTTCCCGGTTTGCTTGCCAAGCATGGCACCTATGGAGCTGAGCTGTTGGGTTGGGGGTCAATGAGCAGTGGGGGAAGCATATCACTAATGTCATCCAGGGTATTCTCCTGTGTATTACAGCTGGAACTAGAGCTTCTCTTGGCGTAAGCTTTAAAAAAAAAAAACCTTGGTTTAAGTGGGTCTAGAGTAAATGAGTTAAGAGCTTTGCATAGTTTGAAGAGGATCTTTAGTGATCAATCCCTGATTCCACCATATCAGTTGCACAGGCAACATGGGCCCGGGATGAAATTGGAAAGAGTTTAAAATTTGGAGTATCTTCCCATCTCCCCTTCTGTGCATTAGACTCCTCTCTTCATTCCTTTCCCCTCTTCACCCCTGCCCTATACTGCTCAGACATCAGCTTAAACTTGCCCTTTCTCAAAAAAATTGAAAAACACACAAATACCACCTTCTGTTCACTAAGAACTTTGTTCAAGAGGAAAGCACTTTAAGTTGCCAAATGCATACTAAGATGTAAATAGCTAGGGACAATTAAATGTTACCTTCCCTAAGGGTAGCATTTTAATACTTAAATAGGAAATGAACTGCACCATCCTAGTGGAATATCAGGCCATGGGAAATGGTAGGGATTTTGGTTGAGTGTTTTTAAGGCAGGAGAGGTTTCTTTATTTCTGAGGCTACTGCATGTTGGTCAAAGCTCTTCAAATTGGCCCAACACACAAGAGTCTCTCAGTTTACATGGTCTTTATTCCTTGCTGCTTTTATCTTATCATTGTGTGTCGTTCTCCATTTTCAGTTCCCCTGTCATTCCACTGTTCTTTTAGGCCAGCCTAGACTTTTCATTCTTAACTCTGAGCATGGCCAGACTGGCATTTGTTTTTCATCTCCTGAGCTGATTCTTCCATAGTTGCTTTCTTTCGAGGCATGCAAACTGCCTTATAACTTCTACTCCATCCCTAAATCTTCTTTGTATAAGTATCACAACCCCCAAATCTCTGTGCTTGAAAGTATCCGATTCTGCCCTTTCTTTGAAGCTTTGATTATTGAGGTTGAAGTTCAGAGCTTCTTCATTGCTTCGTTATCTAGAAGCCAACTCCATAAGCCCGGGAGAGGGAAAGGAGAACTTACTGAGAATCTGCTTGTTAGAAGCTTTGAGAAAGCAAAGGTTATGTCTTTTCCTGTTTTTCCTTCTATACCAAGCCTAGTAAAGCAGAGTTGGTATTTTTCTTCTTCTTAGGATGCTTGCAGTAGGTTACTGGAAACTGGGACTTGACTTTCCTGTTTAAAATTATTCCTTGATTTGAAGCAATTCCTGTAGCTTTTTTTGGACTTACATTATGTCAGTGAAGCTAAGATCACACGTTAATTTAAGTTTGATTAAAAAAAAAAAAAATCTATCAGGCAGCATGGCCAAATGAATTCTGGTCAAAGAAGTCAGAAGCGGAAGTGAAAAGCTCAATATAAAAATGATCAATCTGTCCATCTGTGATTCCTTAAAGAAACTTCATAATTTTCAAGTTCCTCCATCATGCATTTTATTTTAAGGGTTTAATTTTAAGGGTTTCCAATCCTTGAATGCATGGAGTTTTTTAAATGCCAGGAAGCTGTGATCATGCTCTACTTTGTCCAGAAGGAGAAGGTTTTGCATATTTAATCTTGGTAGACTCCAACGAAATCAAGTATATGACAACAAGGTTCCAAGTTTCTTTTCCAAATGAGGAGGAAGCATCTTGGATGTATTTAGGAATGCTGTATGAATGGTATTGTACTTTATTTTCTTGCACTCCTTTGAATGAGTTTTGTTTTGAAAAATCAGATGGCCAACTTGTGATTCTAAACCTTCGATGGCTTGCGGGGACAACTCCCTGCTCTCCAGCTGTGCCATGTTTTTCTGCTCTGGGTCTCATTTACATCATTCCCCTAAATAGAACCAATGTTGATGCCTAAGTGCTGTGCATTTCTCTCATGCTTCTTGCTGTACTTGGCGTGTGAAGACCTCTCAAAGCTCTTCTCATCTCTCTGGCTCTCCATGCATTAGGATCCTTTAGTGAAATTGGAGTAAAATATGTACAACCTTGGTGAGTGCCTCTTGCCACTTTTTTTCTGAGCCCAACTTACCAAAGACAGCCCAGGTCACAGGCAGCATCTTTTTTCTTTAAATTTCTAAAGTTTTAGTCCACCCTTTCCAAGCTTGGTTGAGCTTAGGAAACTGAATGTGAATTAACAAATTGGTAACTAGTACTTTTCCTGGTTTAACCAAATATGTTAACCAGTCTCTTGAGCTACAGGTTCAAAAAGGGGGCAGCCATCCTTCAGAACGCAGAAGGAATGGTCTGAGGTTTCGACATCATTTTCTTTGGTGGAGGGAGTTGGTTGGGAAGAGTTGGTTGGCCTCTTTTGGAGGGGCATCCAGCCTGGACTCCCATCAGCTCTTGGAAATCAGGCATCAAGAGGTTGCCAATTGAAGAGCCACAGCCATATTTAATATATGGCACAGAGTCTGCAAACATGTGTTTGAGCACGTGCCCACCCATATCGTAACTTATTTCTAAACTGGTTAAAATAGAGTCTTTCATTTTGGCCGATAAACATTGAGTGTCTCATGTACGGAACTTTGTATTATGTACTATGGTGGAGACAAAAAAGAATCGAGTGCTATCCTAACTTTTAAGAAGCTTATAATCCAGTTGTCTAAACCTTTGAGTTTAGAAAGTGTTTTAAAAGTGTGATGTTCTAGAGATAACCTTTAAGAAAATGACAGTTAATGTAAGTTTCCTCTGTTGTCATTGTGATTAAACACTTCTCTTTATGTAGTTGCTCCGCCACAAGCCCCATTGACAACTCGCCCACCACCTCCCGCCCTCATTCCTGAAGAGCTGTATTCCAGGTGGTTGGTGCACAGAGTTATGAATTGATCTCCAATGCGGGGAAAGCTAATAAATATGATTTAGGATGAAAGGCACTGTGTAAATGCTTGAGATGTTGTTATTACTGTGCTCATGCACTTTATTATTTTTAAATTGTGCATCCTTTTAAGTAGATTATTTGTTCAACACAGTCTCCATTATATCGAAGTAAAGCATTCACAGAAATTTCTAAAACCTTTTCATTTCTCTCTGTAGGTTGTTGTTTCGTAACATTTTATACAAGAAAAGCTGCACTTGAGGCCCAGAATGCACTGCACAATATTAAAACTTTACCTGGGGTGAGTCGGTTTACTTTTGTACCAAAATCACTTTATTGCTTGAAAATGGTCCTTTCAACTGAAGGTTCTAGTTATGGGCTCTTAGTGCCAAAAATGACTTTGGTCTTTTGAGAAGTGTGTGCGTCTCTCCCCCTGCAGCAGCCGAACCAGCTGGCCGGCCCAGAAAGAAGCGGTGACATTAACGCTTGATGGAAAGAGCTCTCAAATAGTGTCCCTGGTTAGAAAATCAGAGTGACCCCACTGGATCGCCGTGGCTGCCAAAGAGTGTTGGGTGGGCTGAGATTTTAAAAGGGGAAAAAAAAAAAAACCCAACACACGCAAGAGAAGCAAATGGAAAAGGAAAAGCTTTTACTCACCAGGAGCCCCTTTTCAAATTTAGTCTTTAGATTTTCTGTTGAAAGGACAAAATGTACCCTGTACAGCCATAATATTAAACCTCCTAATGGTTTCTAAACAGTCAATGATGGTTAACAAAGTCAGTGTTTTAATGCCCAATTTGTGGCTTCGTGTTGATAGAGAACAGAAAATACAAAGCTTACCATTTTTTTTCCATTTCCTTCCCAGTAATATTTGATGATTAGCACAATTTGCTAGAAATGAACTGATGTTGTATATTGCTACTTCATCGGAATACATTATTTCTGGAGTTTTGTGGCGATTTTATGTAGTGCATGCTAGTCGAAATTTCTCTGTGCTGTTTGGATATTTTCCCTTGACCCTGTCGTCAGTGATGAGTTAATTTAATATCATAATGATGTGTGTTGGTTATAATGAAGAACCTGTGTAAGCAGTACAATGATAATGATTTTATTGAAACCTGGTGTGATAAGAATAAAAGAAAGATAACGTGATGTCCCTAATGTTTTCAGGGTATAATTCTAACTTTGTGTCATTTAGCTGTCTCTGTAGATGTACACAAACACCCCTGTGTGTGTACACACTAACACATGCATTTACCCAGAAATGGGTAATTACTCATCACCCCCAGAAAAGATAGGTTTGTTTAATTGACCTTAGATCCATCGAAAATTTTATAATATTTGTAGTGGCGAGATACTCAACAAAAGATTTTTAAAACATTAACTTCTTAATCACCCAAAAGTCATAAATTATGAACCTTAGCCTTGAATCACACCGCCTTGGTTTTCCCCTTTTTGTGTGAGCAAGTCAAACAGAAGAAGGTTCAAAAAAGCAAGTGGGAGGTACCAGAATTCTCCTTCCCAATTTAACTACTTCTTCCTGAAACTTCTAAAGTGGTTTTAGTCAGGCAGCTTTTCGTATGTCTAAGTGCTTTCCTCAATGACTTTAAAAAAATAAATATATTAATTCAGCTTCATTTTCCATATAAATGGAATTTTTTCTATGTAAATTCTAGGAGGTTGCAGTGTTAAGTCATATTATCAAATGAAGCAACCAAGGGAAATATTTACTGGCTCAACCAACAATAGAAAAAAATAATTTTTATTTCCCAGGCTCCTATTCAAACCCAAAGACTACTTTGTATTCCTTCTCTTAAAAAGAAATACTTTACAGAAATTAGCACACAAATCCCTTCTATGTATGTTTAAAAAAAATACTTGCGGGGCCGGCCCGATGGTGCAGTGGTTAAGTTCGGTGCACAACACTTCAGCCGCCTGGGGTTTGCAGGTTCGGATCCTGGGCATGGACCTACACCATTCATCAAGCCATGCTGTGGTGGCGACCCACACACAAAATAGAGGAAGGCTGGCACAGATATTAGCTCAGGGCGAATCTTCCTCAAGTAAAAAGAGGAAGATTGGCAGCAGATGGTAGTTCAGGGCCACTCTTTCTCACACACACACAAGAAAATACTTGAGATGGTGAATTTGTTATTTAGCATTTATGGTATATTGATGCCAAGTCACATCCTATTTTAAATTAATGCAAAGCTTGGTTAATTTGAATTTGTCCTCTCCACTAGAAGCACAGCTCCCAACATGCCCCCTTCATATGTGAAGATGCTCTCAAGAAACCTAGAGTTAATAAGATGAATGGGCCATGTTGAAAAACATACAAGTGACTGATGAATATGCTTCTTTTTGGGACATCTTACTCTATGACCTTTGTCTTAGCAAAAAATAGCATCTTCTGTATTAAAAAAAAAAATGTTGTACATGTCTTTCTCTTCTCCCTAAAAATCCCGCATGCAGGGACCGGCCCGGTGGTGTAGTGGTTAAGTTCCTATGCTCTGCTTCAGCAGCCCGGGGTTCACAGGTTCAGGTCCCAGGCATGGACCCGTGCACCGCTTGTCAAGCTGGGGTGGCATCCCGGGTATAAAGTAGAGGCAGATGGGCACAGATGTTAGCCAGGGCCAATCTTCCTCAGCAAAAAGAGGAAGATTGGCAATGGATGTTAGCTCAGGGCTAATCTTCCTCACACAGAAACAAAAAAATCCTGCATGCAGAAATCAAGAATGGTGATTTTAGAGAGCGATTATTAAGGACGACAATTCTGGGGTTGGAAAAGATGGTTTGTGGATTGTTTTTGGTTTTCTTTTTATCCAGTTCAATTTCATACGGCCAATTACTTGAGGTGGGTTAAATGAAAATTTGGAAAGTCGGGTCTGGAGGCCCATAGCTGTCACAGTGCACACACTGTTGCATTTGCCATTTCAAATTAGGTAAATGAGAACAGAGTTCCACATCTTGCATTTATGTATAGCTGTATCTGATAAACATCACCCTTAATGGCAACAGGAAAAACATGAAAGTGATTTCCTTTCAGCTGGGAGCTTTTGGTGGACAGGAAGAAATGGGACCAGACATAAAAGATTAATGCATATTCTTGGGGAAAAAATATTACAGGGTGCCTTGCTGTTTGATTACAAGCCTTGGAATTAGTCAACATTTCCATAATTTTAAACCAATGTACACCTGTTTTCCCACTGTGATGTGAAGGCACAACTTAATTTAACAGAAACCCTGCTGTGCTTAATCTCTCATTAAATACCAAGTGAGTTCGGTAATTTAAAGTTGTAGCACTACTATTTTAACTGGCTGCCTTCATATTATGAAATTAATAAGAAATTAATGATGCACTTTGCCATATGCCTTCAATTTCTTTCTGAATAAAAATAAAAGGGATAAAGAAAAATGCATCACCAGCTGACACTTTAAAGCTTTTCTGGTTGTAATCATTTTCCTGCAGATAAAATCCATTAAAAAGGCACTTGCTGCCTTTTTTCCTAAAGTGTCCAAAACTTTCCATTTAAAACAAGATCAAATAGTGCTGGGTGTTTAGGGGTTTTTTTTTTTTTCCCCTATTTAATTTTCTTTTGCAGCTGATGCTTTGTATCTGATGAAACTTTTATCGTGCAACCAAACTCGATGAATGTTTAGGTACCGTCTCTCGCTCTTGAGGAAAGTGAAGAACTTGCTTAGTATAGGAGGTGAACAAAAGCTGATGGGACTATTTGTTATGCAGTTGAATGTGTCCGCTCCTAGATTTTTATTTACAGGCACCCTTCCTCTCATGTCATGTATGGATTATAGAGACCCTTTACATGGAAGGTGGTGGGGAATAAGGTGAAGGATCAGGACCTCACACAGTGCAAAGTCATTAAGAACACATTGCTCAAGCCAGTCACTTACCATGTAACTGAGAAAGACACTGGGTCTTACATCCTCTGAAGTGCTCAACATAAATCCTAGAAACATAATATTAGAAATAAAGGGAGCAAATTCGACAGCTCAACACAGAGAGTAAGGAATGAGAGTCTGGGGTCATTTCCCTGGTTCGATCATGTTCTCTTCTAGAAATAGTGGCTTGATGCTTCAGCAAGAGATCAAATCTTAGGAAGCAGTGCCTTGTTTGTTATTGACATTTCATTAGATTAATAAATCACTAATGATTATTGAGTGCCTACTATGTGCCGGGTACTGAGCTATACTGATTACACACATGCACCCCCTTGAGATCTCTAGAGAGTAATGCTTCCGTAGCGTGAAGAGAATACTGTGACCATGCCTGCACAGGAAGGACTCCTTGTTGAGCTGTTGGGCTTGGTGCAAAATTGTTAGAGTGACTTTTTCTACAGCTGAGGCATTTGTGTTTTTGGACGAATTTTGGTTGCCTTTGTTTAGATGATATAGCCAATCAGGCTCAGAGATAGCTTCCTCTGTTCAGGATTTCAGGTAGGCACAACCTAACTGGCAGAATTATTCAGTAGAAATGTCATCGTCTGCCATTGTATTTCCCAGAGAGAAATCCTTGTAAAGGCAACTTGCAAGATTCATTTTGTTGTCACTGACCTAATTTAGCTTAATTAAAAAATAAAATAAAGACCTTAATTGAGGCACAGAACAACTACCACGATCTTGTTGATAATCAGATATCGGGACCAAATATCCCTGTGCCAGTGACAACACTGTGCCTTCTGTCATTCTGTTTTCAAGGTCTTAACACCTATTGTTTCTAACAATAAGGCTTTTTGATTGAAAATCTACAGCAGTATCATTAGAGCATTCACTGTATAAATTAATTTAATTAAGGATGTAATAACAAAGGAATACAGTTTTGAAAAAGCTCTTAAATTTTTACAGCAAGGAGAAATCGGCGGAATCTAAATGTCTTGTAAAATATTAATTGCAAATTTCTTCCAGACATTTTCTCAGAATATGCCTTCCTCTTTCCTTTTTAGAATCGCTACCAGTTTTATTAAATGCAGTTTATATTAAGGAGTTATTGCCCTAAGAGAACATTTGTTTAGAGCACTCCATTTTAGTGGTGGCATACGGAAAGGTGTTTTATAATAACACACGCAACGTGAGCAAGGACTACACGTAGATTTGAAATATAAAAGCAAATGAGCCTGATCCAGTAGGAGGAAGCTTTAAATAAAATGGCCTCTTGGGACAAATGTGTTCACCCCCAGAAAGTGAATGAGTGCCTTCCTGACTTGCCCTGGAAGAGATGATTTACCTGTGTGGGTAGGCCCTTTTTCCTCCTAGGTGGCCTTTAACTCAACTCTCTATAGGGTT